AGAGAGAGAGAGAGAGAGAGAGAGAGAGAGAGAGAGAGAGAGAGAGAGAGGGGGAGAGAGAGAGAGAGATTCTTGGTGTTTGCTGCTGGCAGCCATGCCCATTCAGCTTGTATAGGGAAACTCTTTGTATAAGACTTACAATTTGCAACCAATTTTCAAAGTTCAAGCTTAATGAAGTGTGTGAATTGCGTGCTGTGAGATGCTGGTCGAATTGTGGTCTCATTGCATATTTCACCTACGGAAACCTTGGTACGACTTTTCCTTCCTCTGAATGATAAGGTTCAATGAACTTCTCACAGCAAACCCCAGCCGCAAACCGTTGAGATCACCGCGATCCATAAATTTTTGGACTATTTCTCGATTTATGCGTTGTCATCCTTGCACTGTGGCCATGCTAATCTTCTTTCTCTGTATCTATCGTTCCCATTTTAACAGATAACCTGTCTTATTTTGTCCGTTTGGTTCATTTGGATTGGACTGGATGGGGCTGCTATGTGCCACCAGACTGCATTCGCTGAAACGAGCAGACGCTGATGTGACGACTCACCTTCTTCATTAGTAGCTGCCACTGCCATTCTCCTCCTCTCACCAGCCGCCTGAAGAAAACCAGGTGTGGCAACGTCGGTGGGGCCCCAAGAAGAACTCTTTGCCGTTCCTGCCAACAACCAGGTCACTTTTCCCATAGCTGCGGCGCATTTATGGACCCAATCATTCAGTGGGGCAGAAGTAGGCTGTGTAGTGTACAGCTGGTAGAGACATTGGCGTCCTTGAGCCGCTGGGTTCGTGGTACAAGCCTTTCGTTCTCCGTTGAGCGGTAAAGGGGCTGAATTATCAATCACCATGGCCAGCTCGAGTCGTGCTTCTCTTCCTGCATCTGGCTGGCCCCACACGGTCTTTCTCAGGCTCACAATGAGCAGATTTACTGTTGGTGGAACTTGGTTGGGATAAGGGTTCTTTCTTACGACTCGACCACGAAAGAGGGAAAGCCAAGAGGGTGTAAAAGGGGAAAAGACTTCTTGGAGGTTACCGACGTAGTGTTGTGGGGCAGAGAAGGGGGAGAGAAAGAAAGCGGAAAGAGGCGTGAGAGAAAGGGGGGAGAGGGGGCGTAGAAAGAGGAAAGAGGTGGGATAGGGGAGAGGAGGGCGGGGTGGAGAAGGTGGAGAGGGATGTAGCTGAGACGCAAGGCAATGCCGTCTGTTTGCAGTTCTTTTCCTGTAAAGAATGGTTGATATCATTGATGACCAATTCTTTTGTCAAAGGACGATATACCCCGGCAGGCGTGACACATCGATGGCTTGGCACACCTGTAAGCGTAAATAGTATAACATGAGTTCTGGTCGGCGGGTGCATGATGGACAGCTTTGTCTATCGTATCAACACGTTATTGAACAACCACCATGTTGCCCAGGAGGGGCAAGGATGTTCGTCTCTGAGGTGGAGAGTGGGCAGGAGATTGCCCTGGAAGTGGTCGTCTTTGGAGTCATCGCTGCTGCTTCTGGCCGACGCATACGTGGGTCTGATCTTTTGGACCGCCCTCAGCTCTCTCGCCCTCGACCTGTGGTCGTTTGCTCTTGCAAATGAGAAACCGCCGAAGGAGTTATTTTTAGTGTTTCTGCTAGTTTTCATTCCGGCAGCCATGTTAGGCCGCCGGCGGTTTCGGGAATACCTTGACGATAAGCCATCATCTCGCGTGTTAATGATTCTCTGTGGAGTTGCTGGAGCTGGTGGCCAGATATATCCCAACCCGGCCATTCGACTGATCCTGGCTTGCCAGGCGGCAGTTGTGTTGTTTGTATATTTATTTGAGGGGGTCTTGGCACTCAATTCGGAGCGTCGGGAGAGGGTTGTCTTTTCGCTGCTCTCTGGTGCAGTCTTGTTCCAAGCTCTCACTTGGGCGTATATCGGGCAAAATCCCCTGATATCAACCTTCTCGGGGGTTGTGTTTCTGGTGGCGATCCCGGGGCTCCTTGTCCTGATACTGCTTGCATTTGAAGGATCACTGGATTGGACTGACGACGACGACAGGATGTGTGATCGGGCTACGCAGGGGAAGAATACGAGGGTGACCAATGGCTACGTTGTGGCGTCACAAGATGAGGGAATGGAGGATGAGTCTTTGGATGGGGGGGAGGAGGAGGAGGAGGAGGAGGAGGAGGAGGAAGAGGAGCAGGAGGAGAAGGAGAACTTCTGTCAAGAAGAGGATGAGGACGAAGAGAAGCAGGGGAGGGTTGTAAATTTGGCCATTGATGGCGGGAAGAGAGACTCAACCAAGTTCGCAGCACCGATGGGAAGCAGTCAGATCAGAGATGAAGACAATTGCGTGCAGCTCAATCTGGCAGAGGACAGTGGTGAATTGGAAGGGTTTGAAATGAGACCCATGGTACTGGAAGGCTCCAGAAGGTTTGGAAGAGGGGGTTACTTTAGATTGGGTATGGTTGCAGGGAATTGGATGGAGGGAAAGAAATGGTCGGACGTGTTTGATAAGCCTTGGGAAAGAAATTGGCCTTGGGTACAGGGACGTGATGACCTCGGCGGAAGTGCCAGTGCCGCTTTTGTGGGAACAAACGGCACGGACGCGTTGTACACACGAATTTGCAAATGGATGACGGAGGAGTGTTATCAATGCTGCCAAATTGGGATGGGTTTCGGCAGCTTCATCTTTCTCATGCACTGGCTTCTTTTGGCGCCGACTCTTCCGGCGCGCTGGGCAAGGGTGTGTACATGGTGGGGGTTGTTATCTGTTGGATCGCTTCTGAGTGGCGTTTGTGTCTCGGCAGAAACGGTCCGCGATCGCCTGCCTGAGCGATGGCATAGACTTGTTGCATTGGCAGCTACTGTGTTAGGTGGTGGCTGGATGCTGCTTGGGAGGGATGGAAAGGGAGGTCATCTGGGGGCTGCACTGATCGCCACGTCAGCAGGGGTGATTTGGGAGGCGATGACTCGTAACCTCGAAGCAGTTCATGCCTTTACTGGAACTCTGGTTTTCGTTGCAATCACTGCATACTGTTCCCTTTTGTGGTGGAGCGCATCGGTCTTGGCGTATCAGCAGCTAGGAGGGAAGGGGGTGTTCAGCAGCGTTGAGGCGCTGATGGCATGTGTGTTTGCAGGTATTGGGATTGGGCTTGCTCGTGACCTGGGCATGTCGAGAGAGCACTGGAGAATGCTAAGCCTGTCGTTCAGTGATTGGGGGGCTGGACAATCAAGAAGGAGAACTGGCGTACCTACCCGCAAGGTGAGATGTGTGTCGCGACTTGCTCCATTTAGCTTGAGCAAAATAGTGTATGATGAGATGTGCTTCGTTCCCCTCAGAGAAAGAAACTCAGTTTTTGTAAGAGATGGATGACTGCCAAGGTTCTCAAAAATTATATAGAAAGTTAGCAACTTTCACAAGTTCTTTTTAAAATACATGAATGAAAAAGAAGAAAGAAACAAGGAAAGCGAAAATACCCTTCATTTATCAGCTGAGTGCCCCAAAACCAAAAGCGTCCAAACAGTAACAAAAATACCCTTCATTTATCAGCTAAGTGCCCCGAAAGAGTCCAAACAGTAGAGAGTTAAACCACTGCCACCTTTCACAACTGCCCTGGTGAGAGGGAGGGCTGTGCTTTTGCAGTTGGTTTGCAGGATTGATGATCGATCTGATGGCCGCAGATTTTTTTTTCTGTCCGCAGGGATTGGCCCGATCTTTCAGGAGGTAGTGGTGGCTGGTTCAAACCTTGAACTTTAAACCACCACCAGTACCTCCGAGCCTCTTTTCGCTGTGGCGGATTTTCACTGGACAGTGGACGTCAAGCTTTGCTGAACATCTAGCGGCGCACTTCTTTTCCTTTTTGACTGGTGACAACGGCCATTTCGATCCGGAAGCACTGTTCACTCGAATCTGCGGATTGGCTCAATTTCAATTCTCAAGTTTGCCTGGGGGATGTACTGATGGTCCAAGACTCAGACAATTTGTGACCTGCCCAGTGGCTGAATGACACAGACCTGCACCTATAGACGGCAAGGGTTCAATTCAATACGATATATTTCCATTGTATAAGAGGATGTTCTTCTCTTCCTTCCGCTCTCTGTGAGCAAGTTCCCACCATGTATGGCTGTACCCGTTCCACTGTGAGCAAAGCCGCGGTGCCGCTGACTTGTCCCTGCACTTATAAAAATCGCTAACGTGACAAATCTGCAGTCCTGGCCGCACTAGCGGTTAATGGAAGGCCAAAAATTCGGGGGTTTTCGCCGCATCGCTACAAGCAATGCTGTCGAAAGTAGCTTTCGGAGTTCGCCAAATCTTTTTTCGAGTCCGGTGTTTTTGCTAAGTTTTTCGTTACTGGTCCAAATGCGGCAAAACTGAATACAGATATACCGTAAAGCACATACATATCAGGCGAAAAGAAAAACCAAGAAAAAAGTAAAAATTCAGGGAAATATGGCAGTTTCGGTGAAAAATTCGCCGAATTTTGGGCCTTCCATTAACCGCTTCTCGGTGTATAGCGAACGAGACAACACGCGGACGCCCGTCCGCCCACTTGAACAAGCACATGCACAAACACACGCGCATGCACACACGCACGCACATGCACGAAAACACGCACATGCACGAAAACACGCACATGCACGAAAACACGCACATGCACACACGCACGCAATGCATCATGGGCAGACTGTTGGGGTCCAACCTCCTGATGAGTTGGTGAAAGTCCAACGAAACAGTCTGGCACAGTCGTGCTTTTTTCAGGGGGTTCACACAAACTGTGTGTGGGTGTGCGCACGCACGCGCGCGAGGGGGAGAAGGAGAGAGAGAGACAGATGGGCGAGGGGAAAGGGGGTAGGGTTAGGGAAAATTCGGCGGTGGGTGGGGGAAGGTGAAAGTGCGCCATGTGACCCAATCTGTTTTTTCATTTCCTTTTTTTCC